TTGACATGACGAGTAAGTCAATGTGTTCAGAAGAAGATTTTCAGTGAAAAGATAATTGAAAAGCGACTTTTTAGTAGATGGGATAGGTTTAAGTGACTTTCTGAATGTAGAGAAAAAGTCTCGCATTCTATACACAATGTAAACCTAATCATGTTCTCTTTTGTGCATTTTAGAGAAAAAATTTAACCCTTTGAATTCCGGCTTTTTTCTGTGAAAATGTAGATTCTTATACGAGACCGTTTCAATATGATGTTCATTAAATTTTTGAAAGACATTGTATTTCTGTATCAATCAGGCATTAATCGTTCATTTTCGTATGATAGTCTTCAAAACAATCAACAAAACATAGACGTACATTACTGTCAAGATACATTTATTCTGTCATGTCGAAAATGATGAGATGTGCAGACAACGAATTTTCTTTGAGACTGTTTATAGAGAGGAGCGAAAGAAAATGTCGAATAGTTAGACGAAGAGGAAAGTTCTTATCAAAGATCTTTCAATAGTTGTAAAGCTATGTGATCCGTACTTTGTGGTTTATAATACTCATCTGTGGAACAACGAAAGAAAGTGTCTGATGACTATAGCGACTATGGATTCCTAGGATGATTTCTCGATCGGAGTCCATGATCTAACAGATAAAACACGTTTCAAAATTATTAAAGAATAAGCTGATGAGATTTTTCTTCAACACCACCATCCATATGTATTTATGTGTGATTCACATTCTAAGCTAAATAGTGAGACGTATATATACGTCGCCGGGACTCAAAGAGTTAATTTAAAAACAAAACTCTTATGTCGCTGTACAATTCGTATTCAATAGTCCCAAGAAATGAGTTAATACATGTGAATCTAACAAATTGAACCCAATTAAATTGCATAGTTAAGTGTTGATTACATATCGATGCATTAACCCGAAATCTGAATATAGAACACGCAGAAATCTACTTTTTGCCCCTCAATATCAGGATCACCTTTGAATAATTTAATTTTGTAGATTAATACTATTAGTGTAAGGTCTTCAAACCTAGACACACATCTCTTTAGAGTAAATAGATCTCGATGAGTAGAGGAAATTTGTCCCATTCTCAAAATTACCACATGTTCGTTTCTAAGAAAGCATGGAGTCACAAATACTATTCATAGAAATTATCTCTCTAATCCCTATGCTACCTCTCATTGAAGTGAAACACTTATTTTTTGTATTTACTAGATCTTTTCTGAGGACTGTAATGTCTGTAAATTTTCTTTCATTCTAGTACACAATGCCAGAGAGATGAGGGTGACTTTTCACTTTTTTAATATAAAAACTATTTTCGAGGAAAACGAAAGAAAACAAAATTTGGTATGTGTATCAATTTTTTCCTCCAGTTAAACAGATTGAAAAATGGTTGCGCTCAGTAGTTTTACGGATCATGGTGCATGTTCCGAACACATTTCGATTTTTTATTTTTCGAAAACAGCTAAGAAACTGGTTGACCTTGAAATTTTCATGAAAAAATGCTTTAGAAAGCTCATAATAATTTTCCTTAGATGCAACTAAGTATTGCGTACGAGCAGTCATAAAATTCTGTTCATGTTCATTCGTTTCATAAAATACGAATGGAAATCGATTTTTCTTTTCTATATTAAGATCAACAAGTGTTATTTTCATAGCTGATCCACCAGTTATAATAGAAAATCCTGTTTATGGAAGTCTTACTCCTAAATTTATAAATTTTGCTGCACCAGGAATGGTGGTATCAATAATATTCTTTTTGGCAACTGGTTTAACAGGATTAATATTTGTTGTTGAGAAAAAACAAGGTCTTTTAGAACGTAGTTGGATTGCCGGTGTTACAACAATTGAAGTTATGTTTGCACATATAATTGTTAAATTTTTCATACGAATTATTCAAATAATATTATTACTTACTTTTACTGACTACATATTTAAAGTTCGTTGTCGCTTTTTATAGTTTTTATTTTTTTTATTTTTATATTAAGATTGAAATTAAAGGTTCAATTTTCTTAGCAGCAGGAATCATTTTTCTTCAAGGAATTTGTGGAATGAGTTATGGTAAAAGAACAAGAGTAGTTTCTTTTTTAATTTAGAATAAATTATTTTGTTGTTTTTTTCTTCAAAAGGTCTTCTAATATCTTCCATGTGTGATGAAGAAATGGAAGCAATGTAAGTGGCGCTCGGAAGCATTTTTCCTGTATTAATTTGTTCAGGTTAGTTTCTTTTTTTAATATACTTTTTTGCTTTTCTTAACTGATAAGTAATTAAAAATTAAAGGTATAATGTGGCCACTCGAAGGCATGCCATCAGTAATGCGATATATAAGTAATTATACTCCATTGACACATACTGTTGAAGCAATGCGATGTATTGCTGCTAGAAGTATTTAGTTCCTTTTTCTTATGTTAATCAAAATATTACTTGATTGAATATTTAGGTTGGTCACTTACACATTTTAAAGTATGGTTTGGTTTTTTTTAAGCCCCCCCCCCCCCCCCCTCAAAAAAAGTCAATTTTCGCCAAAATTTTCAGAATTGAGATAAATGCATGGGGAGATAGCCTGTTATCTGCTCTTTCATAAACGATAAAAAGTTTTCCTCGATACCTCATTTTTTCCAAAAATTTTTCAAGTTTTTCGAGACCCTCTATTCGAAAAACCAGCGGTTTTTTGAAAAATCACAAAATGGTTTTCATTTTTTCTCGATTTATGATTTTTTGATTTTAGTTGCAAGATTTCTCGGTCCAGTGGCGTTCAATATATTTAAATTTTTTTTTTGTTTGAAAGAGCATGTTCAGATGCAGGGCACCAAAGGGTCCTTTTTTTGAAATAAGCCTTTTTATTATTGTATAAGAAAACATGTCTATAGAAAAATAGCCATTTTTTGTGATCTTTTGGAGTCATTGAACTTGTGATGCCCTTTTTTCGCTTGAAAAGTAAGTATTTAAAAAAAAGAACTCTTTGGTGCCCTGCATCTTGAGATACTCTTTCAAACAAAAAAAGATTTAAAAATATTGAAAGAGCTCGGACAGAGAAATCTTGCTTGCCAAATGTGCTATTTTTGACCCTTGTTTGGCTCATATCTCTGTCAAATGTCAGTAAATCGAGCTGAAAATTTTACTACAGCCTCCTCACTTCAGCCCCAACATATGCTCCAAATTTCAGCCCATTTGAACGTTCCTGAGCTGAGATCGATTTTTGAGGGGGGGGGG